CCCGAAGGATTTTTTAGAATATTAGAAATATTTTCGGTGCACGGCTGGTTTTTAGAAAAGTCCTAAGAATTACGGAGAAAGCGGGTAGTGACCTAACGAAAAAGGCGGTTATATATCTAACGGAAAATCCGGTTTTTCCCTTAAACAATGACACCAGCTAGCAACATTGGTAGGAGGTTTCCTTTCCCTCTCATCTCTCGTTAACACTGACTAGAACCAATGGACATCGCAGATCGTTGCCCTCGCCTTGCTAACGAAAAGCGTGAGCAACGAATCCGCTTTCTTCGTTCAAAACACCACACCCACACCGAGCTTTCCTCCGTAATTGCATGAGAGCGGAACGTCAGTCTCCTCTACTGTTACGTCAACTACAACTAGAAACTCAACTATAAGGGCCTTGCTCGACTACCGACGAATATTGTGCAAGTGTATCGCATCTTCGTACGCCAAATCATTGTCTACCACGTATACCATACGCAACGGTGTAACTCTTAAGTGTTGAAAGTATATAGTTTATAACCCTGTTAATCGCAGCGATATACCACCTCAACCACCCCTATTATCTCAATGGAAATCAGGGGATCGATCTATTCGCGGCGTCGATTATTATAATCGTAACGGGAATTTACGACTGCCGTTGACGCGTTTCCTCGCGATTGCGTCTCCCCGCGATTGGTCGAAAATACAAGGTGGATGATAGAATTTAGATGGATGTTTCAGTTCAAAATTTGTCGACGGTGATCGTGTGAAGCGCGATTCGCCGTGTTAACGAAGTTACCATCTCAAACAGCAAGGAAAGGCTGGCAGTATAATTTTAGAATAACCAAATAGTCTTTTCGCACGAGAATTATCCAATACCGACCGTGTAGTCCTATCTTTATTTTTCATTTTTATTTCTTCATTATTCAGCGTGGACGTACTCGGGCTGCTTCCGCCTCGCGTCGAAACTTGGAAAAACGGAAGCACGGAATTAATGGGATACGCTGCGTTTAGATGGGTCAAGATAAACGTTTTTTCGTCAAGGTTTTACTACGGACGGGTCGTGGTCGCCTCGTTTGTCACGCGTGTTACCAGTCTCCTTCTATTCTTTTTTCTTTTCCGGTTCTTCGTCCAATCAAAAAACGATAGCACCGAAGAAAACCACTCGACAACGTTGTTCTCTCCCTCCTTTTTTTAAAATTTACTGCACGATTTATAGCGATATTTCATCCCTTTCAATCTCAAACAGAGACCGAGCTTTTTCGTCGATTCTGTGTCCACCGTTTCTGTGAAATTTATGTGCGTCGTCTGAACGTCGGACAATGAAATCGCGTTTAATATGCACGGGTGTTCTGTCATCAGCGATACCCGCGAGTATACAACCAACGTCAACAGAGAACCACTCTTTTGTCACGTTTTCTTCTTCTTTTTCCCTTCCCTTCCCGGATCTGGATAATTGATTTCCCGCTACTCGATAATTCCCTTCATTTATTTCCCATCTTCGCGTCTAACTTCGTTCCAAGTTTCTTCGAAATTATTTACGACCTCTAGTTTACGAACTTCTTCGTAGGACGTGTGTTTCACAGAGTAAGAATACGACGAAAGTTATTTTTTCTCCAGGGTTAACGAATATTACAAAGTACAGTCGTCCTACAAGGAAACGATATCCATGCGAAAGAAACAAGGGTCACGTACGAATATCCACAGTTCTTGGCGAAATATTCATTCGTTTCGTGTCTTCTACCTTTGGAAATCGAACTATAATGTAAAACCTTCCTTATCGAAACAACGATGGGAATCGGATTGACAACCTGGATTCTCGTTGCATAAAGAAACACACGTGTTGGCAGATAAGGATAGTTTTATTAAAGAATGATTCTAGAAAGCAAACGATCTGTGCGTTTGCAATTCGTTTGCTCGATACTGTGTTTACTATGCAGATTCGTGACGTCGATATTGCGCAAGGATCAATGGAAAAGATAAATACGACGCGCTCGTTGAAATTAAACGAGTTCATTCGCTCGACGTCGGATTCAATTCTCTCAATGATGCGACGTTCGCGTTCCTTCGAAATGAGAATCTTTAAAGAAGATCTTTAAAAGAGAAATCTCGCTGATCGTATCAGAGTAGAGATTACGATCGCGTTCAAAACGGCCAACATATTTGGTAACTTAGAGTGTCTGTTAATAATTCGCCGAGGGATTCGAACTTCCGCGTTCCGTTCGGATTCTCCGCTGGGAGAATTCGATCCGTGTCGGAACTTCGGATTGCGAGCGTCGCGACGTGTTTACGTTTCACAAAGCTCGTCGTGACCACAGGCTTTGATTAACCAGAATTCGACTCGGTAGCGTGGTCTTCGCGCGGAGCCAGTTGTTCCTCCGTGAAACAGAGAATTTCTAATTCTCGTCCGAATCTCCATCTTTCTGGACCGAAGATTTTCTCAATTCCGAAGCTTTCCCGCGCTTTGGATTAACCTTGCTCTTCACAGAACGTGTTTCATTGGTTTTAAAGTACCTTCGTTTTCAAGTATTTTACTTCCGTTAGTCTACGATGGGGTAGACGGTAGATTGGGTTCTACGGGAGATATAAAAATTGTTGGAACCTTGCCAAGAGTTACAAATCCTTAAACGTAGCTACAGGGTTTATTTGAAAAATCACGAAGTTTATATATTTTTTTTAAGTTGTTTAAATATACAGAAGACGTATTACTTGTTGTTGTTTGTTGTTGCTGTTTCGAAATTATGTTTTTACTTAAATCTGCCATAAATGTGTAGAGGATTGTAATATAGAATAACAATATCTTGCCGTTGCAACGCGTCAGATATATTTAAAAGAATGAAATAAATTAGTAAATATAAATAATGGCGAGACACGTCAGTACAAACGTATTCGATAACACAGTGTATAATTGCTCGCTGATAACTCGATCGATAATTCGTAGATACTCGGTATACAGGGTGATTGGTAACTGGTGGTACAAGCTGAGAGGGTGTGATTCTACGCGAAAAAAGAAGTCGAAAATATAGAATAAAAATTTTTCGTTCGAGGCTTTGCTTTCGAGAAAATCGACTTTGAATTTTCGCACGGTACGCGTGCACCTTATCGCGTCTCGTTATACCGGATCTCACTGTAAATGGAGAAATTAAGGATCTCATTGTCTCGATGGAGAAATTAAAAAAAAAAAAGAAATTTTTATTCTATATTTTCGACTTCTTTTTTCTCGTAGAATCACCCCCTTTCCGCTTGTACCACCAGTTACCAACCACCCTGTATACTGATTCGCTCGCGATCGCGGCCGTTTACTTATACTGGTCGAGGCAGAGTCGGAAAATTCAAATTCGTCTTTTTCGACGATTGCACGCAGCGGCGACATTGTTTTGCCCGGAATTTATTTATTGTTACATTACGTGTATCCTAACGATCTTGATACTCCGAGACGAAACAACTACGTGATTTGAATTGTCCTCTACTCACGTGCCGTTACAAATGCATAAAGTCCACAACGTATCGTCCATAAAGATGCATAATGAAGCGAAAGTTTAGCCGAGCCCCAATTTTGATTTTTACTTCATCGTCTTCAAAGCGAGTGTCTTAAGGGACACGACGACATTTGCAACGAAGCATCCGGAGATTATTGCGATGCATCGTGCAGGCGTCCAATCTATTCGGTTATTCCAAGACTTTATTCGGTACGCGTGGCGCAAATTATTCCATTAGTTAGTCACGAACGAGACGGAAACTTTCGCGCCGTCACCGCGAAATTAAACAGGGAACCCATAATGGAACCTTCGTTTCGACTTCCGACTGGAAATTCCGTCAGTCAGTTTTGGGTCGTCAAATACGATGGAAATGTTGATCTTCCATTTATATATATATATATATATATATACCGATATTATATATATATATATATATATATATATATATATATATACCGATATTATATATATATATATATGTTATATATATATATATACATAACTGGCAATCGTACGGTTATTTAATTTCTAGCAATCAGAAAGATATCGGTTTTCCGTTTCATCGACGAGCGGAGATTGCGGAAATGAATTTTCGCGCGAGATATCGCACAATGAGAAATCCAATTTTTACATGGCAAACGGATACGCGCAAAAGGAATGGTCCATCGACTCGATGTTCATCCTCAAACCTGACAGATATCAAACTTTTTATTTCCAAATTTTGTCACGTTTTATATTTTTTGTTTTTATTTTTTATCAATACTCTGGACGGTCTTTAATTTGCCAAGTTTTCAAGTGGAATAAAATTTCTCGAAGCGGAACTAGTGTACGAGCTGTAAAGATTTAATCGGCGCATTATGCGACGAAACGACTGGATCGAATTCCCTTTCGTTTCGTTCGTTGACTGCCTGTTTCTTTGTTTTAGTGCCTTCGTAAAAATGTTATCGTCGTTGGATTACCTCGGCCAGTTATAGCACTGGGCGAAAGTTTTCAACGATCTTAAATATTATTGCTTTTATAACGACTAAACATGTTTATCGAGAACAACGCTTTACGAAGTTACTACTATTTTGTTAAAGCATATCTTTACGAGAGAAGATTTTTGTTCGCGATGTTACTCGTAGATGGAGAGCGTATAAGATTTATTTGTAACGCGATGAAAATCTTTCGCGACGGTATCGATGAAAGTTGGATAACTCTTACGCTAATTCGAAACATTAAACTTTAACAAAATTTGAAGAAATAGTCTATACATCGTTCTGATTAGCGGAAGATAATTTCTTCCTATTTTAAATTAAAGTAAGAGCAGGAAAAATTAGTTCAAGAGTATGCTCGTGTACTAATACTTAGATAACGAAGCAGCTCTCGAGGCGATCCTTGCACCATCGTTCTATATTATTTGTATGTTCCTTTAAATATGTCCTTAAAGATATGTTATTGTACGAGAAATCAATTTAAGAAATGGAAAAAGAATGACAATTCAAATCTTGATTCTTAAATTAACCTTCGTACTAATCGCATCCTCTTTCTTTGTTGCTTTAGCCAACATTTTTAACGAGGTTGCCGATCATGTGGATACGATTCGTTATTTGAGCTGCAAGTGCCACGGGGGTGGAAGAATCGAGCACGACCCGGACGAAAAGACCATCAAAGTCTACGGATACTCCCAAGTAAATGCAGAGATTAACGAGTTCTAACGAACTTCTCTGTCTAGCTCGATCTAATCGGCTAACTCTTCGTTCTTTTACATGCTACTAATTTGACACCTATCAATGTTCTACCTCCGACATCGTCCACATCGACGCTTCTCTATCAGGCTCGTGCGACTTTCTTCTCGTTATGTAATTTTACTCGCGTCTAGAGCCGGAAAACTCGTCGATAATACGAAGATAATGCGAACGAAGATTTTATTACGTCCATGTATCGGAAAAACTTCGATAAAACTAATAAATCGCACAGATTTTCTCGTTAAGCGAAGCTCAAGGCTGAATCGAAATTAGATGAAAAGTAAATCCGCGAGCGTGGTAGATAAAATCGAATTTCGTCTGAAACTGTATTTGTAAGGAAAACTCGGAGCGCCGATAATCATTCACCGGGTTCCTGATCTTAAACGGCCTACGTTGTAGACTAATTATTCCACTTTGAAGACTGGGATGGAGTAGGCGCGCGATAAGATCAGCGAAATTCGCATAAAACCTTATCACATCGCAACCATGATTTTCGATGGGTTGAACGAGGTTTATAGGGAGGGGCTGTGGACTTTGGAAAAATGGCTTTCCCGAATCTGGTCGGAGAGACCTCGAGGGGAAGCAATTTTAACGCTGCCTGGGGGTACCGTGACTTTTTTTCTTTATTCCACGAATCAGAGTGGAGTGTACTTTGGAAACAGATCGCTTCGCGTCGTCCCTGCGTTTCGTGGATCAAAGCATTGTACGGAATTCGTAAACTGGGAAGATCCACGGTTTACGACATCTCTGATAACAGAAACGAAAAAAAGGCTGCTTTATTTTCAGGGCTTCGGAAAGGCGGATCACGAAGTGACTGTTGGTCTACTGAAAAAGAAGTACCCCGACTACACGATCACTTGGTCCGACGATGGATATTAGACCGAAGAAGGATTTGTTCTGCGCGTCGCACAACGAGAGAGAGAGAGCGTTAAATGTGTAATTTAATAAAGAGTGTCTATGGCTTCTATTACCGTTGCCTTGATTCTGTACATTTCCTATTTAGCGGTAACACGAGCTAATACGATTCAAAACGTTTAATTATACGTCGTTTAATTGCTAATTGCGACTAACAATCTACTCGTTCGAATGGCTACGAAATTAATTTACCGATGTAACTAGTTCTAACTGATAATTCATTCGATTCGGTTAATTTAATGTCGTCGAGCTTGCGTTCTTTCTTGATTAAATTAGTTTGGTTGATAAGCGTTTCGTTGAACGATCCGAGTTATGAGCGAAAAATTCGAATCGGAGCATTAAGTAAGAACGATAGAAGGATAGACGTGACGTTGAATGGAAGTTTGCGTGCTGGTTTACGAAATACCGAACTGTCAAAAAAATCAGTGTGTTCCTTAACTGCTGTTTGCGTTTCCCTATGGCGAACGTAGGAATTATCACAGACGATTCGTCATTGATTGTATCACCGAGCTACGAAATAAACGTGACGTTTGTAATGGCAACCTACAAACGTCTTGCTCCTTTATCGATATAATTCTTAACAACTTTTGTATCTGTCGCTGTTCCGTATTCCATACCCGAGGTACGCGACCCCTGTTGTCATCATCAGGGATACCTGATATCAGCAGTCATCCAAGGACAAGCTGCGAGACCTTCAAATAGGTCAGCCTCTCCACTACGTCGAAGACCAGAGTACAATGTAAAATAAAATAGAACCCGTATCACCGAGTCCTGTACTTAATTTCTTCTTACGAAATCTCTCGTGCGTTACTATTTCCATTGCGTTAACAATTCCTAGCGTTACCATTGTATTATATTCGTATATCTCGTAGCATCTAAGATTTGTAATAGTTGTAGCAATCTTACATTCTTCATTGCTGAATACAAGATTTTGAACAAAAGTTCTTAACACTCGATATTCCATATACTATTCCATTCGGTTTTTATTTTTATTTCCTTTTCGAGCAACTAGAAACAAGTGGAAATTATAGATTCGGTGCTGGCGAATGTGAATCACGAGGAGAGCCATCGCTCACAGCCCCTGAACGACGCAGCAGGGAGGACATATCTGCATGCCGTTGAAAGCCATTCGTTGGCCAGGATTCTGGACCTTCGTTAGCTGCCTTTTTCGCTAAGCTAATTTCGGCAACGGCTCAGTGGCGAAAGCGCGTCGTGCCGGTCGTAGAAATCAATTTAGAAACTTTTTCGCTGGCTGTACGAATCCACTGTCGCGGACATATCCTCTGCGCTATCCTCCGAGAATCGTAGAGCCGGCCAGGATAATAGGGATTACTCGTATCGCCTGTCACAGAGAACGCGGAGACTCTCGAGTTGCACCAGAAAACCACGTCCGCTCCAATTCCGTGAAAACTACAGTCGAACGACGCACACTCGTGTTTGCCCGCCCTCCAGGATTTTTGCATAAACGATTCGGCACACGATATAAATCTTAAACGACGCTCAACCGTGTTCCGCGCCTATTACCGGGCAACCACCCGTGCAGCCGTGCTGTATGATCGGCGTACAGGCGTCTTACCGCGTGTTCAACTAAACGTTTGACCATATCGCCTCGTGGTCAACGGATTGTAAACTCGTAACGTCCGTAAGGAAATCACCGCGAGAAAATCGATTCTATGTTGATAAAAATCCGTGACACGGCGCTTTCTCATATTCTACGTTTTGGGGGTTTTCTGGCCGGCCTGACCCCTATACCATTTCCGTGCCGTATACGACGTTATCGATTCAATATACCGGTATCTTGTCGGTGTTATAAAGATCTATTTCTGTATAACCTTTTTTTTTCAAATCCTCCATATGTACCTATATATATACATATAGTTTTAAAACGGCTTGCAAATAGATTTACAAACATAATTTATAAGTATTTAATTACAACAATACAGTAAAACTCGCAGTATGACGTATATAAGTTAGAAAGTATTGTATTTTTGCGTAGATTAATTATTTTTAAATAGTATTGTATAAATTGTTAATTTGTATGAATATTATAAAACCGGCGGCATTATATCAATTACGTTATATTGATATTAACGATGGAGTCGTGCGATTTGTATAATTTACGTGCTTCTGCATTACTAAAACGTTTCAATAAACGTTTGGTCAAACTTAATCAACTGCTTGATCGTTTAATGGTCTCTCCGACGATCCTAGAGTGACCAATCCAAATGCTTTAACGAGAAGCAGAGCGGTGGAACTTTGAAACAAAGTTCGGAAACTCGAACCTCGAAAAACAGCCCTGGTCAGGATTAGATTAGTTCGAGGAATTTGTTAAAGATTGAGAAAATTTTCAGAATTTCTGTCACATAACGTGGACATAACGCGATGTTTGAAGAATTTCTTTGAAATTTTTAGAAGTTGACATTTTTCGGCTTCTTTAAAAGTTCTAGACCAACAACGACGATTTCGTACCAGGAGAACACGATGGCATAGGAGGTGGCACAAATTCTTGGGAACGACTCGGATACTCCGAGTATCGCAAAAAATGCAAGGAACGACGTCGTATCGCTATACTCGCTAGAATTCTAAAAAATGACGTCAAATTCTCACAATTTTCGAACGTCTACAGACATTTATTTAGATTCGTTTATTTATATCCTCGATGAATATTCGCAAAGAAAATTCAAAGTTCTTCTGATTTTTTTACGTTTCACTTATCCTAACTTGCGAATGTAACAACTAAGAGGAGTGGAAGATGGACGGAATTAAGGATAAACGATAAGACACTCAAGACAAAACGATAAGGAATATTGGCTGGCACCGATAGACTTCAACTTGATTCAAATGTCTCGCATCTTGGTTTATCAAAAATGTTAAGGATCGCACGAAAGATTCGAGTAAAATCTCGTTCGCTTATGTAAATCATCGCAAAGCGATGTTCAAGTTGGTCGAGCGGAAACGAGCGGAGACTCGCTAAGACATACGCAAATGGGAGGAATGAGAGCGGAAAGCGGACGAGTACTTGTCCGAATTACGTCTTACAGCGAGCTTCGATGTGACGTTAATTGGTAATAGGTTGTGTCGTAACACAGTCGGAGTCTACTCCAACATCGAGTACATCGCAGAAGCAGAGAATTCTACATTTCATGCGCGAAATGTCTTGTTCTATACCTTATTTAATTTCATAGGAGAATTTAGTTTCAATTCGAACCACTACTGTATCGAATCGATAATGTTGTACGTGATACGAATATGATATAGTGCGAGCCACCAAACGTGGGACACGGTAAAGAATCGAACGTCCGGTGTCACGTTCATTCTGTACCTCGTCGATGATTAAAGTTCCGATTCGGTCGATAAAACGTTAATTTGCGTATCTGCGACGGGACAGTAACTCGATCGATAAAGTAATCTGCAAACTCGGCTTCGCGCTATTTCCTTCCAACGATAATGCAGATTACTGTTTCGCGCGCTTCATTATCGACCTGATCTACGATTACGTATGCGTTCGATACGTGTTTGCCAGATGGCTGCATTTGAAAGAACTCTTAAAGGCGCGTATTATTTAAACCTTCTTTCGCGTTTCTCAGAGAGAGACTTCTCGAATGGTACGAAATAGAAAAATTCTTCTTCGAAATACGTACGCGATTATGCGCGTATACACGATAGCCTCTCGGATCCATTGCAAACGCGTTCATCGGAGTTACGATTTTGTTTTTCCCGATGCACACTGTCAAACGATCTCGGAAAACAAATGCAACGTTTCACTTGGTAACCAGGCCCATTAGTCGCAATTTGGACATGTCAGACGCCCAATGAAGGCGTTACAAAAATTTCCAGTAATACACCAACAGGAATAACAATGTTTTCCCGGGCCGCCAAGTCCATCGTGAAAACTATCGGTCAGCGAAAATATCATGCTGGTGAAGAGAACATCAAGGTATCTCGAATACTATAAAAAATAAATCTAATATACGACGCGTCCTCGGCTGAAAGACATCTCTCGATCAGACGTTTCGCAGTTAAAAAATGGAAAATATCTTCTCATACTCGAATCGTTTGTACAGTCGGCGGTTATTGGAGGCGCAGGGGAAGTAGGACGATCTCTCTCGCAAATGTTGAAACAAACCTCGAAGCTCGACGTACTCGCACTTTATGACGTGGCCGCGTTAAATAAACGATATTTAACACCGATGAAAATCAAGAACTTCAAGGACAGTAGCACCGCCGCAAATACCGCGGTAAGATTTTCATATTTCCTTTGTCTTCTTTCTCGTAGATCGCCTTCCTACCGAAATCTCTCGAATTGAAATTTCCAACAGAATTCGCGGATGCTGACGATGCTGGAGAAATCGAGATCGAATAAGAGCGGCGAACATCTGCAAACATCGTACTTCTCGAATCGTGTGTCAAATGCAAACCAGGTAATTCGACGTTTTCTACCAATATATATACACAGAGATAAATAAAACAAATTGAACAAATAAAAGTATCGTACAAAGAATGCGACCGAAGAGCTCGTCAGAAGCCTGCGTCAGCTGCCTATCGCCGAGGAATGCGCTACGAATCAGTTTGCGAGACCAACGATGGAATCGCAGGTAAGAATCTTTGTTTAACGTCCTTACTTCACCTAAGGATTGACAAAATTTCGATCGAACACGTTTGCATCGTAAATCGGTACTTGAATCGAAGTCGAGTTTCGCGCGTATTAATACGATTTAAACGCGATCGCGCGTCTCGTCCACTTGTAATCGCGTCGATGGCGACCATTGGATGAGGAGGAGGATAGGGATGAGAAGCTGACGAGGCGGCGCTAAAATATTCCACCGGTTGACAGAGTTTCGTGTGATTTTTTATACTTCGAAAGACGGTCGAAAAGAGCAAAGACAAGTTCGTGCGTTTATATTCTCGCGGTGCAACTCGACGACCACAGAGGATCCGAAAGTTTGAAATACAAGCAACGTTGCGGAGGCTCGAGTCGACACGACAAGTTAATTTTCCAAAGATCAAAGAAGAACGTCGATTAGAGTTCTGTTACGAAACGGAAGGCGGTAGGAGCAGATGTAACTGGTGAAAAAGAAAAAGAAGGGAAAACATCGAGGGATTGCTTTTGCCTCGAATCGTTGCTCGGCTAACGGCATGCGGATCACGTTCGTGCGCCTCTTTTTGCCATATCCCTGTCCCCTAGAAAACGCATCATGACGAGAGACGATGGACGGGGCTTTGAACACGTTAAATCCGCCAAATAAACGTCCAAGTATTTGCGATGTTACTTAACCCTTTCGCTGTTAAAATTCCTAAAATTCCTTACGATCGACCATCGCGTTACGCTTCTTTGTTGTACGAAGTTTGCCTTGGAGAAAGTGTTAATCCTTCAACGGTGTAGTCGGAGGAAATATAGCCAAAGCTTTAATTTGCTCGATTTATTCCATTCTAACGCTCGTTGCTTATTAGAAAAATGTAGTTTTGCGTGTGTGACATAAAAAATGTGGGTAATCTTGACGAAAATTGTTTGTTCGAAATTTGTTGTTACGAAGTTTGTTCGAAAATTGGAAAAAGTTAATCTTT